TGTGTCGCCCTAGTCGATTTGGCTCAGTGCACATAGAGCATCGGCCTGCGGACCAAATGGTCCCAGGTTTGATTCCCATCAAGGGCATGTACCTGGGTTGCAGGTTCCTCCCTGGCCAGGGCCCTGGTCAGGACTCGTGCAGGAGGCAACCAGTTGATGTGTTTCTCTCACATTGCTGTTTCTCTCTGCCTTTCTCTCTCTTTTCCACTCTCTCTAAAAATCAATGAAAAAAATATCAAATGAGGATTAAAAAAAAGGGGGGTGTCTCCTACTTCAGACAGCACCTGCAAATGTGCTCAGCACATAAAAGGCACAAACTAAATATTTCTTGGCTGCTTGATTGATATAAACAGTTCCACAAGTTAGGAATAACACTAATAAAGGGAACCTTTCAAACAGCACCTATTAGGTGCCAACCATCATTCTATGGCTTTTGTATGTTGTAACTCATTAAATCCTCACAAAACCCCTTTGATGGAGTGACTGTTACCCCTGAAATAGAGTCACAGAAATGGTAGGTTATTTGCCTCAACTCACCCACCTAGAAAGTAGCATTGGGCTCCTTGGCTGCTATATTACCATGCACCTCAAATGCAGAACAGGATGTGGATCATAAATGCATTCAGCAAGCATTCATTCATGTCCATTACATAAACAAAGCTATATTATCAAGGAACTCATTCCTGCACATATTAAATCACCCCCACTCCCACTCACCCACCCATGTGCCTACCCACCAGACATTGATCGGATGCTTGCGTTGGGCCATGCAGTGGGTGCTGGCTGGTCGGCAGCACCAAGAAGGGAGAACCATGGCTCTGCCCTCCCAGAGCTTTGTTCTGGTGCCGCACTGAGAAAGCCACCACAGAACCAGGACTAAGCTACCTGGGCACAGTGGTGAGACACCCTGCTCCAAGCTGTTTCGGTCCTGGGGAAACCTGCCTCGGGTCAGTTTGCTGCCGTGGTACCTCTGTCCTTCCCCAGATATCAGGACCCGGAGAGTGACGAGCACCAAAGGAAAGCGAGAGAAATCAATGAAGACCAGCTGCCGCTGGGCTCCTGGAGAAGGACACAGCCACGCGAGGAGGCGGCGTCCTTGCTGAGCTCTTCTCTCCTCCCTCAACCACTGGGAGCTACTGCCACCATTTCAGAGTTTGGGGGTCTCAGATGAATACGGTGGCAAGCCAAGGTGACAGCAATAACTACAGTTTTGCTTCTACCCCAGGAAAGTAAGTGCAGATCTAGAGTAAGGGTGCAGGTTCGAAATGCTGCTGAGCTCCATGCCTGGAGGGTGGAGAGAAGGTCTAGGTAGCAAGCAAAATCCAAGTGAAAAAGGGCCCCACAATTTAGCCCAGTCAGGTAGGGCACTGGGCAGAAAATTCCAGAAGTAACAAGAACTGAGATGACCGAAAAGGAACGGGGAGCCAGGTGTGACTCCATGAAGAAGAGCCCCTGTTCTCACAACCCTCTTTCTGTGGTAACCACAGGGGTTGTCCCCTGCAGGTCAGCAGCAGCCCAGCGACCGGGCAGGGGCAGGCAGACTCACGGAAGAATCGGCGATCTCCTTGAGGGTATGGTCAGATCCAACAGCAAAGATAATTTTGCTATCAGGGGAGACGGTTACACAGTTGTAGCTGCAGGACTTGATCACACATTCCGTCTCCCTCTTTCCTGTGGACAGATTCCATTCATATACAGCACCGTCTGTGCCACAAGAAATCAGTTTGCTGTCATCTGCATTCCACGCAATGGAACGAATCTGCAGGGGATGAAGACATGCCCAGTGAAGAGGACGCACACACGTGCACAGCCCTCACATGGCAGAGGCGCATGAACTCTTCACGTGTTCCACTAGACCAGTGGTCGGCAAACTGCGGCTCACGAGCCACATGCGTCTCTTTGGCCCCTTGAGTGTGGCTCTTCCACAAAATACCACGTGCGGGTGCGCACGTACAGTGTGATTGAAACTTTGTGGCCCATGTGCAGAAGTCGGTGGCTCGCGAGCCGCAGTTTGCCGACCACTGCACTAGACTGAGGCAGAATGTCCTTTCCTGGTACATACCCTCCAGTCAGCACGAAACAGAATATTCATATTCTGTTTGCCAAGATGCTTGCAAAATATGGTAGATGAAATATTCCCATTTCCTTTTTACCTTAGAATGGCAAGACTAAATTGTAATGGTTCCTATAATGCTACAACCATTCAATTATGACTATGTTTAATAAAACACTTTTTTTGGGGAAAAAATAATTATATATTCACAGGAAGTTGCAAAAATAGTAGAAAGGACCTCTCTACTCTGAAATAGCAGATTAAGTCTCTTAGCTGACCCCACCCCCCTAAAAAAAATAAGTTAACTGTTAAAAATAATACAGTCAAGTATGTAAAGTCTCTGGAAATTGTCCTAAGGGCATATAGCAAATGTAAAAACATTCATTCAAGTAAATCTACTCAGCCTCAGTAAGAACAGAAGCTGTGGCATTTGAGCCATGACCTGCTCTGCTCCAAGAATTTTACTCTTGTGCACTCTGGGCAGGTGTGGCCAAAAGATGGGGCTCCCTCTCCCTCCAGCTCTCCGTCTTTGGCTACGGTGTCACCCTGGGGAGGGAAGACCGCTAGTGTTTCTTATCCCTACTCAGAAGCTCTATTCTAGGCAGGCATGGCCAAGAGGACTGGTCCCCCTCCCCCCAGCCAGTCCCCACTGTTGGTGGGAGCTCTACTCCAACTGTAGGAGACCAAGAATATCGAGGGTCTGCGGATGCTGGTTCCCAATCATGAGGGGAGAGCTGAAAAGACCAGGGGCTTCCATCCCTCTCCCTCTGCAAGTGCCACTCGGACTGAAGGGGTCACTCCTGAAAAGCAGAGCAGGGATTCTGCCCAGGGGATGGATGGTCAGGCCATAAAACAAGAGCTCTCCAGCTCTGCTTGAGGGGAAGGACTTATTTGGAATAGCACAGTGTACTTTCATCTGTGTCTCCACAGTCGCTTGAAGACCAATCCCACTGCGAAGCCCCTCTCCATAATGTGTGTGTTTATAGCACTTCCATTGCTAAAGTCAATGGTGAGTTTTTAGTCTTTGCAGGACCTCTCTCTGATATTCCATGCCAGCGACTGCTTTATCCTTTTGGAACTAGTTCCCTGGCTTCTTTGCTACAAGTCCCTGATGCCAGGTTCTCTTTGTACCTTCCTTGGAGTCTTTCTGTTCTTTTAACAATCCTTTAAATGTTGGCCATCTGTCTCCTGCCCAAGATCCTTCTCAGATTCCACACAGGCCCCTGGTGATCTAATCCACTCCACCCTAGTCCCCGGAATCTTAATATCAGCCTTGACTTCTTTCCTGACCTCCGTACTTCCTGGACATGTCAAACATAACATGTCCAAATGGGACTTAACATCTTTTTTCTCTCTGTCCCTACTACTAAAGCCATGGTTTAGTTCCTAACTCATTCTCCACCCTCACTTCCTAGCGGGGCTCCATCATTCAACTTTCCTCCTGTCTCAGCCATCCTCAATACCATTTGCAGAATTACCTTTCTGATCCCGTTACGTCCTTTCTTACATCCTTTCAGTTGTTTCTCATCACCTACAGGCCAATGTCCAATTCCTTGGCCTGGCATACAACACTCTGGGATACAGGCAATTTCTCCAGCTCTTTCTTCTATCGCTCCTCAAGTGTGCCCAATGTGCCAGCCATAGAAACCACAAGCCACCATCCTATTTATACTCCCCTTCTACCATCTGTAACACGTCCTCGAGCCTAGAATGCCTTTCTTTTTCTATTGCTTTTTCTCTCCAAATTCATCTGCTGACATCTTCTTAAGCCTTTTAATCTTTGGCCCCTCCCTTTTCTTCATGCCCTATATCCACTCTATCTTCTTTACCTATTGGTCTTACTTCCTAAATATCTTTTAAATTCATCCACTTCTCCCTATCTGTACCACCTCCACCCTGGTTCAAAATACTATCTTCTATCGTGTAGACATCCTTATTTCTTTAAATGCATTCTTTACTCTGTAGCCAAAGTAAGCTTTTAAAATGCAAATCTGGTCATATCATTCTCTGCCCTGAGAGTCCTCAGTGATTTCGAGGAACAAGGATAAAGTATAAAAACCCTTAAATGCCTACAAGGTTCTAACCCAGTGGTTCTCAACCTTCCTAATGCCGCGACCCTTTAATACAGTTCCTCATGTTGTGGTGACCCCCAACCATAAAATTATTTTTGTTGCTACTTCATAACTGTAATTTTGCTACTGTTATGAATTGTAATGTAAATATCTGATATGCAGAATGTATTTTCATTGTTATAAATTGAACATAATTAAAGCATAGTGATTAATCACAAAAACAATATGTAATTATATATGTGTTTTTTGATGGTCTTAGGCGACCCCTGTGAAAGGGTCGTTCGACCCCCAAAGAGTCGCGACCCACAGGTTGAGAACCGCTGTTCTAACCTCTCCAATGTCAGCTCACCTCAAGTTTTATCCTGATACCTATGTTCCAGCCCCACAGACATTTCAGTTCCTCTGACACACGATGCACTCTCCCACCTAAGTGTCTTTGGAGCCCTATCTGCAATGACTATCCCACCAGCTCTGTGTGGTTAATCCCTACCCATTCCTCTAGGACCAAGCCTTTGTGAACACCCAATTTCCTTCATTATGCCAATTCCTTCATTATTTCCTCTCATAACACCTCGTGTTTTCCTTTCATTGAATTTATGGCAACTAGTAATTAAATTTGTCTGTGCATCTGTTTTATTGTCTCTTCCCCCAAGTAGACAATGAGCTCCAAGAGTAAAGGACTCGCTTCTCTTTTCATCACTTATTCCCCATTGGCTAGCATAATGCTGGACTCTGTGCTCCTCCACACCCACTTACCTTCCCTGTGTGTCCTTTCAGATTTGTGATGTTCTCCAGGCTTGTGGTGGTGAAAAGGTGAATCACGTTTCCATTTACTGCAGCAAACAGGTGACCTCCATTGCTAAAGGCACACTACAAGGAAATACAGCCAGAGAGCAAGCATGAAAAAAGTGAGCAGTCTCGTTCTGTTACCGTCAAGTCCTCCTTTTCTCAAAGAGTTGAGGCTGAGCCCTAGCTGGTTTGGCTCAGTGGATAGAGTGTTGACCTTCGGACTGAAGGGTTCTGGGTTCAATTCTGGTCAAGGGCATATACCTCAGTTGCAGGCTTGATCCCCATCCCTGGTCAGGGAGTGTGTGGGAGGAGGCAACAAATTGATGTGTCTCTCTCACATCGATGTTTCTCTCTCTCTGTCTCTCCCTCTCCCTTCCACTCTCGCTAAAAAAAATCAATGGGGGAAATCA